GTGTCTTGGGCTGTGCAAATGTAGGTGACCTTGGATCTTCTTTTCTTTCTAACTGTGGATGCCTTTCAGCACCACTTTCTTGGACTTCAAAGTTTTTGCTTTGGCTTCTGCTTTGGAAAGGGCGGGGTTTTCCTTTGCCTTTGGTGCCATCTTCCTGAAAAGGCTAATGCTTTGTCTTTCTTGACCACTTGGCGGCATTGAATACTTTTTTGCTATCCTCTTTCTTGAAAGTCTTTCTGTGACCCTGCTCTCACCTAGTGTTTCTCTTGCTTCCCTATCCTCTTCTATTCACTCTGCTTTTATGGGCTTTTCCTCTCTTCATGCCTGTCTAATCTCCATATTCTTCAAGGACTTATCCTAGATCCTAGTCTCTTTCTACCTAAACTTTGATAAACTATTTCCCACCACTCACCACCCATATATCTGGGATCACTCTTTTCACCTTCAGTTTTGCCTACAGAACATTCCCACATATGTCTGGATATTTCACAAGCATCTCAAGCTCAATGTATTCAAATGAGCTTACTCTCTACCCTCATTCCAAACACCTTGGGTGCGCTACCCCATATTCTCTTGGCCCAAATTTTACCCTAGCCATGCTGCAGCAACCACTTTTGCAAACATAATCAGATAAACCCTTGCTTCAGTTGTACCCCACCCTCGTCACTTTACTCCCTGGAGTTAGTCTCTGACTTTGCCAAAGGGGATGACTACAGAAACCTTGGGTGTTCATGCAGCAACACTTAACCAACAGGGAATGGGAGCCAGTAGATAAATGCTCCCTGCTTCAGGGGCAGACAATTATGAAGCTCATGCAACATGACTCCCATGTCCCAATGGGGTTGAGCCTCAGTTGCCCATGGCAGTGACTAACTTGATTACGTGCTATTTACTGGCTTTTTCTCCTTCTCTTTTTAACAGATACTGCCATTACTATAATGAATAACTTAATTATTTTAATTATTTAAATCTTGCTTTATCATATTATGGTACAATGCAAAAAAAAAAAATCTCAGGGGCGGGCCAATAAAAATAAATTGCTAGTGTGTTAGGTGAAGCTAAATTTACACTGCTATCGGCGGATCTACTTAATGGGTATAGAAAAGAATTAACTAGATCAGTGGCTACACATCAGTCAAAGGGCAACTTACAGCTACCTTCCAATATAGAAACAAGGTGAAGCACAGAACTAGCTACAGTTGACTCCACTTCATTAGCTTTTCTGTAATATCAGAGACACTTAACTTCCAGGATCTAGCTTTTTGATCAAACCAAGGAATCAGAAAGAAAATGGTGGGACAATCACTCCCAAGACCTCCAACTTTATCATCATGGCTGTAGTTTTCCTTTTTTGTATTGACAATCTTGGAGTGGTGGGGGAGCTCCAGTGGCTTTTACTGAGCACATCCTTCGCCAGCACCCATTCATGCTTTGCTCATTCTAACAGAACCCCTCCTCCCTCCCGAATCATAATAAGTGGATTCTAATAGTCTGCTCAGAAAACGTGAAATGATCACACAAAGTAATTTTCATCTTTCACTAACGGGCAATCTTAGATACTTCCTCCTCCATATCCTGGTTGGCTTGTTAAAGATTCATAAATAACAATCTCTTCCCCGTCTGAGGTAACAAAAGATCCAACTCAGAACAAAGGAGACAGGCACACAGAGATCAAAGCAGCTGTTTTGAGATGTGTTAAAAATGTGTCTGAGGGATGGTAAGAACAGGCTTCCCAGTCTTGGACCCCACTTGACCTACTGGAAGCAGAAGACTACCTTATACAGGTGCAGAGTGCTTGCCACATGGCCAGAAGCAAGCATCCCTCCAACATCTCCAATGACCAAAACAATCCCTTTATCTTTTCCCTCTAAAAGCTCCTGATGGCTATCTGAAATTGTGCTGTTCAATGCAATAGCTATTGAGCACTTGAAATGTGTTTAGTCTGAATTTGAGACGTGCTCTAAATACAAAGTAGTTGAAGATTCAATTTTTTAAAAAAAGGGTGTAGGGTATCTCAATACTTTTTGTATTGATTACATGTTGAAGTAACATTGCATGAAAATTTTAAATACTTGAATTACAAATATTTAAATATTTGAATTACAAATACTGAAATATTAAAATTAATTCCATCAGTTTCATTTTTGATTTTAAAAATAGGGCATACTTCCAATTTGACCAATTTCTGATTCCAAGATTTGTACTCCCGATGATCATTTGGTGAAGCTAACACCTCAAAATTTAAGGCCTCCATGGGGCGTCTGGGTGGCTCAGTGGGTTAAAGCCTCTGCCTTCGGCTCAGGTCATGATCCCAGGGTCCTGGGATTGAGCCCCACATCGGGCTCTCTGCTCAGCAGGGAGCCTGCTTCCTCCTCTCTCTGACTGCCTCTCTGCCTATTTGTAATCTCTGTCAAATAAATAAATAAATAAATAAATAATCTTTAAAAAAAAAATTTAAGGCCTCCAGTACTGTATGCCCTCTTGGAAGATATCAGTTAAAAGGGAAAATGGCCCTTCCCTCAGAATTTTTAGTAGGAGGTAGAACAGCACTTCACATTTTTAAAAATGCTCTGCAGATCACCAAATTTAAAAAAAGGAACAAAGGGAATGTCCCCATTGTTTCACTTATCACCATACTCAGACTTCCATTAGTGTTCTGAATTTGTTCTAGTCTCATCTTGCTGACAGTGGCAGAATATCTTGGGGGAAATACTCGATGGTCAGTTTATTTTTAACAAGGGAATAGATTAAAGATTCAGAACTCTCAGATATAGTCCAGTCAAAAGTCTGTCAATAGTCCCTTTTATTTTCTACTTGACATTATTAAATAATACCAGACATTATCCACTCTGATAGATTCTGCACTCTCTGAAGTGTTTTTCTTCAAGTTGCTTCAAGAGTCCACATGTGAAAAGTCTTCCCTGTCACTTGTCTGCTTTAAGAAAGGTGGACAAATAGGGTTGTTAGTAGATTGGGGGGGGGGTGTCTGTTTGGCAATCCATCTTCTTGAATCTGACTTTACCTCTCAAGAGAAATGCATCTTGGTCCACTGGGATTCATGCAGGTAAGCTAAATTCTAGACAGCCTTTCAGAATCAAGTCCTCTTCCGTGCTTCACTTCAAGCAACTAGGAAGGGAATGCAGATGCCTAGGGCCAAAGCTACCTAGTCCCTGATCTTTAATAAAATAAAAATAAAGGACTGGGCCCAGGGCATAGAAGAGTTTTGGGAGTCAGAACTTAAAGTTCAATGATGTGGACTCACATCAAGGCAGACCTTAAATATTCAGAGAAGCTTTCATTAAACAGGGAGCTATTTTAGGTCTCAAGTAAGGCAATGATGAGCAGGAAAGTGTCATTTAGAAAGACTGGTCTAAGCATAATGTGCAAAATGTCAGTAACGTGCAAAATGTAATTCGTGACACACACTTTTGATGTTAACCAAATATTGAGGTGCTTGTTTACTTTTCTGGCCTCTGGTGCTGGGTTCTGGTTTATAAGATGTGGACACAAGTGATGGTCCTTAGAAATAACCTAAAATATCTTCCAGCTTTCTCTTTCATGATACCCTTAGAGGCAACATGTTCTAAATGATGAAGATAGAGTGAGACAGACTGACTCATATCAGATTTTATATGAGATGTGAATTTTCAGTTTGGGGGTTACTTATTATGGCACTAAAGCTTAACGTACCCCTGTTCAGTAAGGAAGAGGGAAGGGATGCCTGGGTGGCTCAGTCGGTTAAGCCCCTGCCTTCAGCTTGGGTAGTGATCCTGGGGTCCTAGGATCAAGTTCTGCATCTGGCTCCTTGCTCAGCAGGGAGCCTGGTTCTCTCTGCCTCTACCTGCTTGTGCATGCATGGTCTCTCTCTCTCTCTGACAAATAAATAAAATCTTTTAATAAAAAAAAATAAGGAAGAGGGAAGAATTCAATGACTACCACAGTAATGGGAGCCTGAGAGGATAAAGGCGCAGTCTACACTGAAAATTCAGAGAAAGAATGTACACTCAACAGATGTTTTAAATAGAGAGAACCTGGTAAGTAGAAAAATCACTAATTCAGATAAATATTTATTGAGCACCTATTATGTGTAAGGCACTGTGTGAGATGCAAAGACACCTAAGTCACGCCTCCAAGTGCTTCTAATCTAGTTGAGGAGATGATACCTGTACATAAATTATTAAACAAACCATATAGCATAATGGTTAAGAGAACAGACTTTGAAGGTAGACTTGTATTCAAGGATTAGCTTCACCTTTTACGAGGTGTGTCACTTTGGGCAAATTATTTAATACCTCTAAACTTTAGTCTGCTCATCTGTAAAATGAGGATAGTAATAGTACCTACTTCTACTTCACAGGGTTGGTGAGAGGGCCAAAAAGTCTACTCTTTGCCAAACTCTCCATTGAGTGCTTACCCCATAGTAAGCACTCAGTAAGTGCTAGCCAGCAGCAGTAGTAGCGGTAGCAGTAGTAGTAGTAGTAGTAGTAGTAGTAGTAGTAGTAGTAGTAGTAGTAGAAAGGAACCTAGAAGTTGGGACAAAAAAAAAAACAAGACCAGGGCCCAAAAAAGCTCCCAGGGAAAGGGACGCAAGCTATAAAAAGAAGTGTTCTGGAAACGACAGTGCTGCTCCAACTTCGCCTTCCCTCCTGCTCGAGCCTCCGGTTATTAAAGTGCAGTGATACTTGGGGCCTCAGACAAGAGACATGTCTGACGATCACCTCCTAATATTTATCCTGTTGTCTAACAAACTTCTGCAAAGTGTTGACCCTTTAGAGTCACATCCTAACTTCTGGCATCCCACAGTTCTAGAACACGGTAAGTAGAGAATGTTTATTCACACTGTGGGAGCAGAGGTGGAAAAGGAGAGGAGTAGCCAGAGTAGGTAGAATGCTCAAAGGATGGGTTTGCTTACGATGGGGAAGACCTAGCTTGAGTTTCTATGGAGGTCCTTTGACTAAAGCTTTCACCCAACTCAGTCTATTCCTTGTTTGGCGTAACGCCGTTGGTGTTGAATAACGGATGACTTAGAACTGAACACTTTCCCACAGACGCTGCATTCAAAGGGTTTCTCTCCTGTATGCACTCGCTGATGTCGCGTGAGCCGGCATCTCTGGCTAAAGGCTTTCCCGCATTCGGTGCACTCATATGGCTTGTCTCCGGTGTGAATCTTCTGATGCTGTGTAAGGGATGAACGGTCGAAGAAAGCTTTCCCGCACTCACTGCACTGATAGTGAGGCTCTCCAGTGTGAGCCTTCTGATGTCTGTTCAGTGATGACACGCCATAGAAGGCTTTCCCACACTCGTTACATTCGTAAGGCTTCCTGCCGGTGTGGATGAGCTGATGTCGAGTGAGAATACTTTTCTGGCTGAAGGCTTTCCCACACTGATTACATTCATAAGGGCTTTCTCCAGTGTGGATTCTCTGATGTCGAGTAAGGGATGAGCGGTCGAAGAAGGCTTTTCCACACTCACTGCATTTAAAAGGCTTCTCTCCAGTATGAATTCGCTGATGGACAGTTAGGGACGACCGGTCAAAAAAGGCCTTCCCACACGCACTGCATTCATAGGGGCTCTCCCCCGTGTGAGACATCAGATGTCTACTGAGACTGCTCCTGTGACTGAAGGCCTTCCCACACTCGTGACAGTCATAGGGCTTCTCTCCAGTGTGAGTCCTCTGGTGGCGGGTAAGGGATGAGTGGTCAAAAAAGGTCTTCCCACAGTGGCTGCATTCCTGGTCTCTCTCTTTAGTGAGGATTTTCTTGAGAGGGGTAGACCCCGGCTGCAAGCTTTCCTTCTGGGAAAGGGACTTCTTGCAGGTCTGGACGGCAGGCCTCTCCTTCCCTGCTTCCAACTCACCCTCCAGTGCATGAGCATCGAATTTAGAACACACGGAAACTTCTCCTAGAAGCTTTCCCCTCCCCATTCCTTCTGATTCTTCTCCTTCTGAAGGACCGTGAATCTCGGGCTTAGTCTCCCGGTCTAGAACAGACAGAAAATACAGATGCAGTTTCTCTCCTGGGCTAGGAAATACTACAGTACAACAGCAGAAAGATGAGATGCTACAATAAATCTGAACAGTAGTGTACAGGGACTGCCCCGCTGGCTCCCATGGACAGTTGTTCGTGTTGGGAAAAGACTGAGACTCGAAAAGAGAACAGAACTGACAGTGGACAGCTCAGAAGAGAGAGAAGACTTTCCACTGGGAGCGTGGCCAGGATAATTGGGAGAGTAGGCTAAGTGGTGGGGGGGGGCGGTGGGCAATAGGTATGTATGGGCAACATGACAGATCTGAGAGAATAACATTTGGTGGATAAAGAGGAGTAACACTTTCATGTGTGGAGAAAAAAAACTAAAGCTGGTGGGTGACAGAGAATAAACACTAAAGCAGAAGATGTGAATGTGAGAAAAATGTGGTACCCAAGCCTCCTTCCCACACACCCAAATAACAGCCACAAAACAAAAGTCGGCCCTGTCCTGTTCATACACAGTTACCTAGAGAGACATTCTCTGGACATTCTCTCTCCTCAGATCCGTGAAGATCAACTACCCAAGGCTCATCCCCTCTCTTCAACTGAAAAATGACGTCAGGTTGAGGAACTGGAAGTCCTGCTCAGGGAGAAAGAAACAAGCCAGGTATGTGATGGAAATACGCAACTATTCCGAAGCTTAAACCCAACCTCTCACTCTTTCTGACAGAAAATGGAAAGCCAGAGGGCCCACGCCAGGAACCCAGAGTACAAAGTAAGGCAAAAGGATGTGGGAAGCTCACAATGGAGGTCAAGACTGAGGTTCTACAAAGGAACAAGTAGCACTTGGTCAAAAGTTGATAAAATCCATTTGAACTAATGTGTTTTATTCTCCCCGCTGAAGTGAATGGGATGTCATAGCTTTAGCACTGATACGATTGTGGGAGAGAGTCCTTGGCTCAGGAAAGATATGAAAACAGATCATCCTGAGTAAAAAAAACCATGTAATTTTGTTGGTTGGTTTACCCTTTAGTATTAAGCTTTTATTTACACAAGTGGGTCATGTTCATCGTAGGAAAATTAGAGGTAAGTAGAAATAAAAAGAAAGATCACCTTTTGTACTTTGTATTTATTTTTTCTTTCTTTCTATTCACTTTGAAACTGAAAGATACCTATAGATACATTCTGTTAAAAACTGGGTTATGAAATAATGCTAATTTGTAAATTTTATTTTTTTCACATAATGAACTTAAAGTATTACTTTACCTCAACTAGCACAGATCTACATCACCACTTTAATGGCTACACGCTGTTAGTTGTATGGGATAATCTAATTTATTTAATCTCCTGCTGACAGCCGTTCAGACTGTTTTTACTGTTTCGCTATTAACAAACAATGATGTGACAAACATTTTTGTACACTCGGGGCTGCTGATCCTATTATTTGCTTGGGACAAATTTCTACAAGTGAATCTATCCATTTTTGGTCACTGAAAGAAATAGAATCCATCCTAGAAGCAGTCTTGAAGTCTAAACTTCCCTTGCATTGGGGGTCCCCAACTTGTGAAAGAGAAACACTTTCTTATTGAGCCCAAGGATCACCTATCTGGTTAAATTCTGATCACCTGCCACAAATGGGCCACATCCATCGCCTCCCTTTGGCTTCCTGTTTCTGATCTTAGGAATTCTATTTTCCCCAATATTTCATCCCACCAATGTCTGTGACAAAGACTCAGCAGTCTCCCTTAGTGCTCCCTGAACATTCTATACTGGCTATCCTGTTTTTCCTATTTGGCTTACTTAAATTCTTGACTGGCCTCATAGAAAACCTGCAGTGTGAGTCCTCTGATGGCCACCTGCTGGTTTTACACCTGTTTCTGAAGCTGCACACTCTCTCAGTCTCTTAATTCTGGAAGCTCTTGAGAGGTTGGCATTATGTACAGGAGCCCAAGCTTTACTTCTCATGAACATCTCAAACCAACATTCTTTTTCTTTTTCCTTTTCTTCTTCTTTTTTTAAAGTAGGTTCTACACCCAATGTGGAGCTTAAACACACGACCCCGAGATCAAGAGTTGCACACTCTGGGGCGCCTGGGTGGCTCAGTGGGTTAAGCTTCTGCCTTCGGCTCAGGTCATGATCTCAGGGTCCTAGGATCAAGCCCCGCATCGGGCTCTCTGCTCAGGAAGGAGCCTGCTTCCCCCCGCCCCCACCACCACCGCCTGCCTCTCTACCTACCTGTGATCTTTCTCTGTGTGTCAAATAAATAAATAAAATCTTTAAAAAAAAAAAAAAGTTGCACACTCTACAGACTGAGCCAGGCGGGCAGGGGCCTCCAGAGCAGTCATTCTTTTTTTTTTTTTTTTTTTTTAAAGATTTTATTTATTGGGCAGACAGAGATCACAAGTAGGCAGAGAGAGAGGAGGAAGCAGGCTCCTTGCTGAGCAGAGAGCCCGATGTGGCTCCTTGCTGAGCAGAGAGCCCGATGTGGGGCTCGATCCCAGGACCCTGGGATCATGACCTGAGCCAAAGGCAGAGGCCTTAACCCACTGAGCTACCCAGGCACCCCCAGAGCAGTCATTCTTAATTTTTGTTTTGTCAACCAAGTCTCTATAACTGCAAAGTGCCTTCTGTGGGCCTCTCTCTAAGCCTGCACTTAAGATAAATATTCAAAATCAAACACACTTCTAGTGACTTACTCTGAGGCACAGGCTTGTATTTCTACACCCTACACCCTGCCCTCTTTTTAAAGGAAAACACTCGGGGCACTTGGGTGGTTCAGTCAGTTAAGCGACTGCCTTCGATTCAGGTCATGATCCCGGGGGCCTGGGATTGAGCTCTCTGCTCAGTGGGGAGCCTGCTTCTCCGTCTCTACCTGCTATTCCCCCTCCTTGTACTCTTTTTCTCATTCTGTCAAATAAATAAATAAAATCTTTAAAAAAAATTAAGGAAAACACTTCTTCCTCCCCTCCTCTGCTTCTCTCAGGAGAAATTTTCTCTCAACAAGATGGCATCCTTAGTCCTCTGGACGGAGCTGAGTAACTTACCTGACTGATGAGCTGGCGGAGGAACTGGGCATGTGTAACTCAGCTTCTTCTGTTCGCCCTCCCCACCCCCCTTTGGAGAGTGGGTCCTCTATACTGTAGGGACAGGCTGCTGAACAAGGGAGGCTGGGGTTGTACAATCTGCCCATGGCTCAGGAAGCCAGTCTGTCCAATCTTGGGGTTCAGGATGAAGAAGCCAACTGTCGCTGTACCCCTAAGCCATACCTTCTACTCCTCTATCTTGTCTCTCAGTGCTTCAGAACTCAGGTGGGAGAAGAGGTATCATTTATTGGCCCCTCAATCCCCCATTAACACAGTACCGAGTCTAACTTCTTATGGGAAGCTCTCCTTACCTAATGAGACAATAATCTTATAGTTTTCCAGCATCACCTCCTTGTAGAGGTCCCTCTGATTAGGGACTAGATGTCTCCACTCCTCATCTGTGAAAATCACTGCCACATCCTCGAATGTCACTGATTCCTGGAAACACAATCACATTGCCCCTTACTTATAACCCTTCTCTTTATATGGACCAGACGAAACAGTCATAAAGATGATAGCCCTGAGGTTGTGGAAGGAGGGTAAGTAAAATTGTTCTAATGAAGCAGGGCTTTGAAGCACTTGGGAGAAAGTGGCATAATTCCCTGAGGCATGAAGTTCTTGGTCATAATTCTTATATTCACAGCCAAGCCCGTAAATTTCAGATAATTTGCAAGAACAGAACAAAGAATGCCTATGTACCCTTCACGCAGCTTCCCCAAATGTTAACATTCTCCACATGTGCTTTATCTTTTTGTCTCTCTCAGTATATACACATTCTCCTTTTTCCTGAACTTCTTGAGAGTAACTTGCGAACATGATGCCTCTTTACTCCTATTTTATGCATATTTTATAAAAACAAGGATATTCTCTAATATAATCACAGTGTAATTATGAAAGTCAAGAAAACACCATTGATATTATACTATAATCTACAACCTTATTTGAATCCCGCCAATAATCTTGGTGTTGTTTTTTTTTTTTTTTACAAATCCTTAAAATGATGGTGTTGATTAGATTGTCCTTAGGATCCCTTCATTTCATGCAAATGCTTTGTGATTGTGTAAGACAGCATCTTTACCCCCAATCCTAAAACCCCAGATGAGTCTCCAGTGTGCAAGTTCTAAGCCAGAGCATAGAATTCAAGACTCCAGGTCTGTGGGCAGGTGTGGGGCAAGCCCCATGTCTCTACCTATACTCATCTCTCTTTGGGACTCTTATCACCTCACTGAGGGGCTCTTCAGCAAGTGTCATATTCCCCAGCCTAACCCAACACTTCCTGGAATACTTGGGGTCCACTCTCAAATGGATGCACTGAAGGCAAGTCAGGACAAGAACTGTTCCCTCAAACCATCCAAGCCAACCTGTACCATCATTTTTAAGGCAAAAGCTCTCAGAGCCAAGTCCACAGGGGCCGTGTCCCTGGTGACACACTACTGGGCACATGTTCAAGGCAAGAAAAGGTCACTGAAGGATACCACAAGTCAAATGGGAAAGACGCATTCCCCCCAGAGCCCTTCATTTACCTGGCTCGGTTTGACTGAAGAAGCTCCCGGATAAAGAGAGAAAAGTGGTTACAATCTGGAGACTAACCGAGTATTCCAGACACACAAAGTTCACCTCACCTGGCATCTGGCAGTCGGAGACACAGCAGCCATTCCCTCCTGTGTGCTCTCCTTGTAGAAAAGGGCAGAGTCCTAATGAGGAAAAGGTACGGGATGAGAAAGACAAGTCTTGGTTTGTAGTTTTCTGACCCATAAAGCAAGAAATCTCCAAATACCAGTGAGTTATATACCCATTCTCTTTCTTAATACCCTACAAACAGGGAAGACAAAGCAAAGCCAGGCTAGGAGCAACCCCACCCTAAACCTTTGGAGCGAAAGGCCACGGATAGTGCTATTCAGGACAGGAGGGGGTGCTGGTTTGACCGTGATCCCAGAGGAAGAGTTCTGTTCCTGGGAATCAAGAACATATGAAGCTTATACTATATTTGTAAGTTCACATTCAATATTGCCCTGATGGTTACCAGATAAGAAGTCTAAGAAATTTTATAAATGACTATATGGAAAGACATGTCCAGTAAATACCCACAGCCTCATTAAGGGAAAAATACCCCATTTGTAACCCTGTGCTAAAGGAGCCACTGTTGGGCAGCCACATCTAGTTCCACATGACACTGTCTCTCCCTCCTGGAGCCACACTGACGTAGGCCTCAGGTAGTGGACTGAGATGTGATCTAGCTTGGAAAGGGGAACATGAGCTAAGAAATGTCAGCACAACAGGTGAGCGATGAGCTGAAAGGGTGTCAGGAGGGACGGAAGTAGCCATGAGGATCAGGGGAGCCAAAGCTACCCTCATGTGTGAGAGGCATGACCCAGGAAGACTAGACATAGGCTGGGGGAAGAAGAGCCTGGTCACCTTAGTGGTGAAACATTGGAGCGAAGACTTAAGAGTTTTTACTGGCGTGAAGTCCCTCAATGCTTGCAGACCATCCCTGGGCTCCAATTCGCATTTAGACCAGCCTCATTTATTCTGGGATTGCCGTAACCTTCTTAGGCTTGGTGTGAATCCTATCGCTAACCCCCTTTCCTTGAGTTAGCTGAGTAGGTCTCAGTTTCCCACAGTCAAGAGTCTAAGACAACACAGTTAAGTCAAGCATTTCTGGAAATCATGAGTGGGATGGGAAGTGCGGTCCGAGGAAGGACGAGGCAAAGAGGGGGCGCACCGAGTACTCTCCTGCAGTCAAGGGGTTATGGGTACTGATCCTTATATTCATTCATCCGTCTATCCAACCAACATTTATTCAGCACCAACTATTTATACCAAACACAAAAACTTTAGGACACTGTCCTTGTCCTCTAAAAGCTTATAGCTTAGAATATAGGACAAACAAGTAGCCCCAGTAATGTGTCACTACAGGATGGATAGGTACTATAAAGAGATACCCACAACAAACTCTCAGAGCCCAGCAGAGGCTTGCCTCAGCCAGACAGGAGGCTGTAAGTTCCTTGGCAGAAATGGGATGTAAGGCTTGATTTGGGGGAGGAGGTGGAACATTCTAGGCAGGAAAAGTACCAAGTTTTCAAAAATAAGGAGGTGTGTCTTTACATGGAAAAGATGAACAAATGGAACTAGTTTAGAATGGCAGAGGTCTAGGCTGTGAGCAGTGCTGTGGGGAAGTAGACAAGACCAGCCAGCTCAAGGACAGCTTTGTATGGTCCCATGCATGGAAGAAGGACCACAGGCATAGAGATCACTGAAGAATTTCAACATGGAAGAATTATCAGATTTGTGTTTTAGAAAGATCATTGCAAATTGTATGAAGAGCCTTGGAAGACACATACTCTGACTCAGCAAATCTTTCCTAGGAGTTTGTCCTAAGGAAGTAAGTGAGAATATCTTTAGTCATAATAATACTAACCTTATGGAGCACTACATGTGGTAACTTTTTAAGCACTTTACATGTATTATCTCATTTAATCCTTACAGTAAAGGAAAAATTTGAAATATCCTAAGTTTCTAAAACAGGAGATATCGGGGCACCTGGGTGGCTCAGTGGGTTAAAGCCTCTGCCTTCGGCTCAGGTCATGATCCCAGGGTTCTGGGATCGAGTCCCGCATCGGGCTCTCTGCTTGGCAGGGAGCCTGCTTCCCCCTCTCTCTCTCTCTGCCTGCCTCTCTGCCTACTTGTGATCTCTGTCTGTCAAATAAATAAATAAAATTAAAAAAAAAATAAAACAGGAGATATGATTAAATCCATAATATCCATACACTGTAATACCATTTTATCATATTAATAATAACTAGCATTTATTGAGTATTTGCGACTTACCAGGCACTGTGCTAGTATTGGTTACTTACCAGACACTTTTAAAAAAATTTTATTTATTTATTTATGACAGAGAGAGATAGTGAGAGAGAGAATACAAGCACAGGGGAGCAGGAGAGGAAGAAGCAGACTCCCTGTTGAGCAGGGAGCCCAATATGGGGCTTGATCCCAGGATGCTGGAATCATGACCTGAGCCAAAGGCAGACTCTTTCTCGGGATAACTTAATTCCATATTCATAAATTGATAAGGTAGGTACTATTTAATTTAGTTATTTTTAAAGATTTTATTTGATTTATTTGAGGGAGAGAGTGACAAAGGGAGAGCACAAGCTGGGGGAGAGGCAGAGGGAGAGGGAGAAGCGGACTCCGTGCTGAGCAGGGAGCCTGATGTGGGGCTGGATCTCAGGATCCTGGAAGCATGTCTTGAGCTGAAGGCAGGCGCTTAACGACTGAGCCACCCAGGTGCCCCAGATAGGTACTATCTTACAGATTAGGAAAGTTAGGGTTAAAAGAAGCTGAGGGAGAATTTGAACCCAGGTCTGTCCATCAGTTGTTTTTTTTTTTTTAATATTTTATTTATTTATTTGACAGAGATCACAAGTAGGCAGAGAGGCAGGCAGAGAGAGAGGAGGAAGCAGGCTCCCTGCGGAGCAGAGAGCCCGATGCGGGGCTCGATCCCAGGACCCTGGGATCATGACCTCAGCTGAAGGCAGAGGCCTCAACCTACTGAGCCACCCAGGCGCCCCTGTCCATCAGTTTTTAACCTCAATGCTATAATACAATTTTTATTTTCATGAAAAAAATAGCCACACAGATAACAGACCAATAGACAAGAATAAAAAAATCCCCAACATATCAAAACATGTAGAGAAACTTGATATACAACTGAGCCAGCATTACAAATCATTGAGGAAAAGATCACTAGTGATAAACTGCAAACAACTTAAATGTTCATGAGAAGGACCAATTGTTATTTTATGTGTGAACTTATGTGTATTGGAATATTATACATTAAGATGAATGAAGTAGAGCTTTGTGTTAATAATAAATCACAAAATGTAATTACTGAGCAAAAAATAAAGTTTTAGAATTACTGTGTAACATCTATATAAAAGTTAAAAAACAGGGCACCTGGAAGGCTCAATCGGTTAAGCCCCTGACTCTTGATTTTGGCTCAGGTCATGATCTTAGGGCCATGATCTCAGGGTCATGAGGTTGATCCCTGCATCAGACTACACACTCATTGGGAAGTCTGCATGAGGTTCTCTCTTTTCCTCTGCCTCTCCTTACCAAGCTCACGCTCTTTCTCTCTCTTTCAAATAAATGTATCTTAAAAAAAAAAAAACCCAAACTTAAAAACAGGTAAATAATATCTACAAAAAAAAATCTGTGTGGGACAATAAGTACCAAATTACAAGTTATCTCTGGGAAGGGAGGGATATGGAATTGCGACAGATAACCAGGAGAATTTTTTGTTTTGTTTTGTTTTGTTTTTTTGACAGATAGAGATCACAAGTAGGCAGAGAGGCAGGCAGAGAGAGAGGAGGAAGCAGGCTCCCTGCTGAGCAGAGAGCCCAATTCGGGGCTCGATCCTAGGACCCTGGGATCACGACCTGAGCCGAAGGCAGACGCTTAATGACTGAGCCACCCAGGCGCCCCAGGAGTTTTTTTTAAACAAATTTACAAATATTAATTGAAGAATGCACACTTAAAACTACTTAGCTGTGTATGTGCATATGTATAGATAAAGGACTGAAAGAATATACACTAAAATGTAAGTGGAATTTGAGTGGTGGCATTATAAGTGGTTTTATTCTATTTCTTGTAATTCTTTATACCCTGATTTTTGTTTTTATGAGTATGTATTTACTTTGGTGTACAGGGAAAAAAAAACCAGGAAGGAATGTGGGTATATAGAAAACTTAAAGCAGACCCAAGATAGCTATTCTCAGAAAATTCCATTTGCGAGGTTGGTCCTTGGCTGGGGTCTGGGAACTTCGATTTGGGGAGAGTTCCCTAAGAAAGAAGGGTGGCCCATTATGCCAAACTATTTGAACGAATGATATGGTTTATGTTGAACACTTGCTCTGCTGCCAGAGGGTCTGGAATTTTGGTATGTGTTAGGCAGAGAGTGCCTACCTGACCTGCTCTCAATAAAAAAAAACTTGGGCTCTGAGCCTCTAATGAGCCTTTGTGAGCTGGAACATCACACATACATTGTTGCATTTTTATTGCTGGAGAGGATGCATTTGGTGTGACTCCTGATGGCAGGGAGAGAGCACAAGAAAGCCTGTATTTGGGTTTCTCCAGACTCTGCCTGTCTCATCCCTGATTGACCTAGCTGTACATCCTTGTCTTAGTCATGAGTGCAAGGATAGGCTGAGCCCCGCGTCCTTCCAGCAAATCCCTGAATGGGGGTGATCTTGGGGACCTCCGACACAGGCATATGTATAGATGCCATTCTGGGTAGCTCTAGCAGAATGGGACTAGAGGAGGGCAAGAATGGAGGTGAGAAGACCAGTGAGGAATCTCATAATTAAATAAGGAAAAATGGTGAAAAGCTGAATGAAAGTAGTGATAGCAGAAATGGACAAAAGTGGAACTACTGTCAAGACATGAAGAACAGGGATGCCTGAGTGACTCAGTGGGTTAAGTATCTGCCTTCAGCTCAGATCATGATCCCAGGGTCCTGAGATCGAGTCCCGCATTGGGTTTTTTGCTCATCGGGGAGCCTGCTTCTTCCTCTGTCTGCAGCTACCCCTGCTTGTGCTCTCTCTCTGACAAACAAATAAAAAAAAAAATCTTAAAAAAAAAAATGAAGAACAGACAACAGACTGACTGCCAGTGGAGGCTGAGGGTGATGGGAGAAACAAGAATGACCTCCAGGTCACTGATCTGAACAACGGTGTGCACAGAGGTACCACTCATGGAGATGAGCAACAGAGGAGGAGGAGGTTTGGAGGGAAAGCTAATGGGTACAGTTTGGAGTATTTAGAGTTTGAGCTGTTGCCACATCTTTGGATAGGAAAAATCAGGTGATTCTGGCTTCCACTGGCCAGGTTATAAAAACTATTATTGCTGAATGAAACAGTTTGAATTTTGAAAGACCATGAGTTCCATACTCAAAACGAGAAAAAAAAATATATATTTTAAAAATCGTTGTAATACAAAGAGGGCAAATACACCTTTAGTGATACAAATAAGTACTTTGGTTTTTTTTTTCCTATTAATTGTATGACTATTCACAAAGTATAGATGTATCCTTAGGATATATACTTGTGTCCATTCACACAAGCATGAGAAAAGAAATCAAGGGAATGTGGGTAAACCAAGTAATCCCAGAATCAGGAACGTCAAACCCCAAACAGACTAATCTGTACTGGGGAGAGGAAGAAGGAGTATGAGCTCGTCTAAAGAGGCAAAGTAACCATGCAGACTTAATCCTTCCTCCTTTAGGAGATGAGCCCACTATCTTGTCTTATTAATTATGAGATACTACTAAGGTACAGTTAAGTTTTCAAAAAGACCAGACCAATATATATTTACTAGACAATGGGTTACTGAGCACTGGCCAAGCAAAACTTTAAAAGATTATTACCTTGAGGGAACACCAGTTTGCAAAAATGTTTAAACCTATGCAAAAGGTGGGGCGCCTGGGTGGCTCAGTGGGTTGAGCCTCTGCCTTTGGTTCAGGTCATGATCTCCAGGTCCTGGGATTGAGCCCCCCTCTCTGCTCAGTGGGGAGCCCGTTTCCCCCCTCTCTCTCTGCCTGCCTCTCTGCCTACTTGTGATCTCTCTCTGTCAAATAATAAAATCTTTAAAAAAAAAAATGCAAAAGGTAAAAACTTAAAAAAAATACTGGAAAAACATGTTTAGTGTAACTACAATTTTTTTTTTTTTTTTTTTTTTTTTTTGGACCTGAGAGATTGGGATTTGAATCTTGTTAGGAGGAGGCAGAGTGATATATACACAAATGGAAACAGCTAAGACATCATCAGTAGCCTGCAAGCTGTGTTGTTTAAGAAAGTAATCCTTCCCTTGCTTGTCAAGATTCCTCCATTCCCAGAAGGGTTTTAAAACATTACTCTTGGGCCCTCGTAAGAAGTCCAAATTAGTATTTTGAGATACAGGAGAGACTGCCAGAAATGAAATTCCAGCTCTGCTTACTACCTGTATGACCTTAGGCAAGTTTCTCAACCTCTGTCTCAGTTCACCCGTCTGTAAAATTAGAATAATGAAAGTATCTACCTCAGAGCTATTGTGATGCGTAAGTAGAATACATATAAAGCATATAAAATAACGGGCTATGTGTTAGCATTAGCTACGGGTTATAATCTTAGGAAGGTAGAAATAATGAAAACATTAATTACAATGTGTTGTTGCTGTTTTAGAATAGGTTTAAGTGTAAGTGTAGGAATCACTTTGGAATCAAAGTATTTGAATATGTTGTCGAAAGCATTTGAGCTTTTCAAACAAATCAGGGGAACTACATCTGAGATTGTAGTTGAAACTGCTCAATGTTTAAATCCTTAAAGACAATTTTCAATTTTGTATATTGGATTATGACTTCATAAAACAAGCATTGAACACCTTACAAATGGTGGTGGGCATAAAAGCTCCCCCGCCATTCAGTAACCAGCCAATACTCCCGAGGTGCTCATTATTCGTGGGATCCCTGCCAGGCTGATTTCCCTCCCCTGGCAGTCGCTTCAGTAGCCTCCCAGTGATACTCAGGGCTTCCCAAGTCCACCAAATCCACATGGAGTCACTTATGTTTTCTCTTGTCCTACTGCTGGTTCTCAGAGTATTTCTAGAGAAAAAAAAAAAAAAAAAAACCTCTTCAAATTCTTATTCTAGATCTTCAAATGAGCCGTTGCCTAGAAAGCTTTTCCTGTTCACATCCTTGCCCTGTAGCTACTCCAAACTTCTACGGCTGACATTCGAATTTTGGAAGAATGCTCACTCACAAGAGTTCCAAAGTCTGTGTGGTAAAAAGCATTCCACAGGCACGTACTTATTAACGATGAAGGCTTGGGCAAATTACTTAAACTAAAGGTTGACCTCCAGTTGTTTACTACCTACCTCACAGAGTAGTTATAAACAGTAAATTAGACAGTTAATGTAAAGCATTTATCTTAGTCTGTTCAATAAATGAAAACTGCTTTCCTTTCAACGGCCCAATACCAACCCATTCATCCTACAAGTCAACAAATACATCCAAGGACCTGCTATGTGCGTGGTAGCATGAGGTGTGAGGACGAAACAGAAATGTTTCTGTCTCTGGGTCTTTCCCTGAGTGTCCTCTGTGTCCTACCTCCTTTTCCACTACTGTTGCTTTTCAGAATCTGTTCCCTGCGTTACCAGATCTTGCTTTCTCCACCATCTCCCAGCTCACCAGTAACTTCTTCTCCATATCTTCAAACAAATACAACCCTCATCTCTCTGAAACCTTCTTCACTGAATCCCATGGCCTCTCTTTAGCAAGAGTTCTCATTTAGGTTTTCCTTTCATGATCAAAGTTCTTGGTAACACATACTTATCAATTCCATCTCCTCTTTTTGAATCTTTTTCTGTTCTTGTCACCCCTCACCACCTGAAACTGTACACTTGAAAATTACCAATGCACCTCAAATTACGATAGTCTTTTTCTCCTTATCTTTATTTCTCTGCAGCTTTTGATTATTCTGACAAGTTCCTGCTTCTTTTCCCCAGTCTTGCCCTGGAAACTTAGCTGCTGCCCAACAACACTTAGTCTTTGTACAATGTTCCTGCTATCCCTCAGAAAGTCCATCCACCTGGCCCTCCATTTTCTACCTTTACAGAGATGGTTTCCAGTCTAGACCCAATGCCTCTTCCAAACTCAGCTGGCATTTCCAACTGACTGCAAATTTTGATTCAGGCATTCTGCCAGCACCTTAAGACATCTTCCCCTATGCAACTCCCCAATTAATCCCTCTCTCTAGCTTGACATTTCTGTCAGATGTTCTATTATTTTCCCAGACGCCCCCAATTCAAACTTTTACCTTGCTCTCTTTCCTCCCAAATCTAGTCACCAGGTCCTTCTTCTTCTTCTTCTTCTTTTTTTTTTAATATTTTATTTATTTATTTGACAGACAGAGATCACAAGTAAGCAGAGAGGCAGGCAGAGAGAGGGGGGTGGAAGCAGGCTCCCCGACAGGCAGAGAGCCCGACACAGGGCTCGATCCCAGGACCCTGGATCATGGCCCAACCCGAAGGCAGAGGTTTTAACCCACTGAGCCACCCAGGCGCCCCTCACCAGGTCCTTCTGACTCTTCTTCTGCATTGTCATTTTTATCCTTTCCTACCACTGACACCATTATTTCAGGTCTGTAACAACCCACATCGGGATTACCTTGCATTCCCAACTGGCTCCCTGCCACTAGTCCCTTTCTTTCTTTAGTCCTGATGTGACCTCTAGAATTACTGTCCCCAAATAGTTTTCTTCTGACAGTCTTCAGATCAGAACTATACTATCCACTTGCCCTGTGTTTTGTCCTGATCCTCTGTGTTCTTGTGCCAGTGTACTTTTCTCCACCCTTGTCTCCCACTACTCCTCGACACTTCACTCCAGTTAAAATCAGCTCCCTCTCAAATCTGCCTAATGCTTTGCTACTTCTTCCCTGTTCCCCCCCACCACCCCAAATCCTACCTCCTCCATGATAGGCCCTGCCTCATCAAGGCCCCTAGCAAATAAAGAATGATATTAAAGCATTCGTTTTACCATTCATTCCTCTGAACTAAGAAAAGATTGTGCATGATGTTGACAGCTGAAACAGACACATTAGGCATTAAGGTAGCTTTAATTACTGGTTTAATGGATAACCATATATGTCAAGCCAAGTGCTTTAAGGACTGCATCTCAGACTCAATTTGCAAATATCCTTTTTTAAATCACAGATATCTCAGAGATGTAGTTACTTCTAGAATCAAACTTGTCAATAAGCTAAATAATAACCATCGGTTTCAACAATGGATTCCAACCAGCTTAAAAGTTAAACTTCCTTGGTTAATTTTTTTAAAATGTTCAATTATGTAGTCTAAAACATGATTTATCTATCCTTAAATGAGGGCCTCGTACGGAGGGAGCTAACCGAGACAATCTGAGATGTTTTCTGAGAAAGACGGAGGGGCGGAGCCGGCGTCCCGCAGATTTAGTGTTGATTCCACCCATATTTATTAAACACCCATTATGGGAAGGAGGACAAGAGGAGCGGAAGAAGGCTCCAAACTTCCAACCTGAAAGTTGGGATCTGGCATATAGTGGGTGTATGATGAAAGATCACTCCTGACAGTGCCCACACTCCACGGAATACACACACACACAGGAAGCGAGGGGCAACTTTCCGTCTGCACCTCTCCGAGCTGGGATACATACACACACACACACACACTCTCTCTCTCTCTCTCTCTCTCTCATTGCAGGCTGGCTCCGCCCGCGTCACCCCGTTGAACTCCCACAGCACCTCCCCCAAGTTCTCAGTGTCCCCTTCTCTCGGCCGCTGCGCTCACTTCACATCTCGAAGTCAAACACCCGCAGCCTGAGCTCACCTCCTGCACAGAGTGCTGGGTACCCAGGAAGACGGCGCCTCTTCAGGTCTGAAAAGCAATGCGCCTGCGTAAAGACTCTGACGTCTGCGCTCACAGTGTTCGGCCTCCTCACAGACTCCATTTCCCAGAAGTCTCAGCGGTCGGCGCGCTCCAATATGACGTATAAACTTTTGCGCAAGCGCACGTTTCTGGGAACGGGGCTGAAGGCTCTATGGCGGTTTGAATAGAGCGTTCCAGTTGCTGTAGCCAGGTGAGAGAAGATGTATGGGAGAATTGTAAGACCCTGGAAGTACTGCCTACGTGTGTTGTCACGTCCCTCCAGTCCTCTGATCGAAGGGCCATCCGAAGGAAATGTGATCTTTGGGGCCGGTGCCTACCCTTGTTTTTCACTGACGGAAGACAGAGAACGAGTCTCCTGGCGCTTGGAAGAGGATTTTCTTGCTTCAGCTTGTCCGCTTTCAGGCATTTTGTTCTGAAATTTGGGAGAAAGGCAGAATTTGGTTCTAGGACAAGGCTGGGCCTGAGGCAGGGTATGTGCACATTTTTGCGGCGGAAGAGGAAAGCCCACGATACACGTCTGTTTAACTGGGCAGTTGGCAGACTGCCGACAGTGTGAGCTCACACCAGCCTGCCTTCTTTGGTACTGCTAGAAGGGCCCTAGTTGGAGACATGTAGGGATTCTCATCGGTGGCTCCATGTCAGAATAATCTGAAGAGCTTTGGACACATTGGTACGTCGGTCCACTCAGAGGAGAGAGAGTTTACAAAGATCTTCAGGTGATTCTGATGTGCTGCTAAAGCTAAGAACCACTGAGCTAGAGCTTCAGAGAACACTGGGGATTGCAAGAATATGATAAAACTACTTCGGAAACAAGTCTACACTTTCACTCAAAAAATCTATAATGCCTACCATACACAAGGCATTGTTACAAATGTAAATAAGACATAGTTACTGCCTCAGACGAACTCGGTCTAAAGGAAAAACCAGAATGTAAGAGTTAAAACACAATGCAGTATATTCTATATGTCACATTGGAGACACTAGGGGAGTACAAGCAGGAAGCAATTAACTGTGGCTGAAAATGTTTAAAAAGGCCTGTAACAGTTACAGTCTTATAACTGATCCACTTGGAAAAAAAAAAAAAAACAACACTTGTTTTGGGGCACCTGGGTGGCTCAGTGGGTTAAAGCCTCTGCCTTTGGCTCAGGTCATGATCTCAGGGTCCTGGGATCGAGCCCTACATGGGGCTCTCTGCTCAGCAGGGAGCCTGCTTCCTCCTCTCTGCCTGTCTCTGCCTACTTGTGATCTCTGTCAAATAAATAAAATATTAAAAAAAAACACTTGCTTTATTAAGAAGAAAGAAAGTGTGTCTCGGTGGCTCAGTTGGTTAAGCTTCAGACTTTTGCTTTGGGCTCAGGTCATGATCTCAGGGATCTCAGGATCCCAAGTTGGGCTCCATGCTCAGTGTGGACTCTGCTTGGGATTCTCTCTCTTTACCTCTGCCACCCCCAAATAAACAAATAAAATCTTTTAAACACACACACACACACACACACACACACACACACACACACACACACTGCAATCTATGTAGAGAGAATAGCATCTTGTAAAGTTAACAGACTAGGGGATAAAAGTGCGAAAAATTAGTAGCAAGATGAGTGGCCAGTGGGTATTTAGGGTCTGACAACTGTAACTTGAGGCCAGATTGGGGATGGTTTTGTACTGTAGTAAGGGTTTGGATCTTCCAGGATTAGGACTTGATTGAAGTCATGATGTCTAAGACGGACATCCTTTCTTCCTGTTCCCTTGCTGCTGTTTTTAATTTATCTAGCCTTAGATACTGAGAGTGGAAATTGCATATAATCAGAAGCTGGGTGATGGGTGGGAGAGAAATATTCAGGCACAATTTCACACTATACCTAAAAAACACTGTTGCTTTTAATACCCAGATCTGATTCCAGATTGGAATGGCTTTCTACATCTATGTTTTTGTTTTCATAATACCTTCTTTCAGAATGGCCACCATTGGGGCATCTTTAGTCCGCTCTCAATGACTGCATACTCCTGAGTCCTAATTGTGAACAGGTTTCTGTTTTTACTATGGGGGTCCCAACCCAGGAAAGTTGGAGGTTGTGTGATGATGGATGCCTGAGCACACAGGGGATCAGTAGAAAAATCTATGCTTCAGTTCTGCCTTACAAAAGCACCTTTACATTTGTTGTTTTTTTTTTTTTAATAATATGCTTAAAATAGAATAAGCCATCTCCCTCAGGCTAATTTGATTTAGAGATGTTCTTGTCACCTGCTCTTCCTCTGAGCAAACTATAGTTTACCAATATTGTTCCTAAAATTTGATGTCTTCTGTTTTTTCTCTCCATCTTCCATGGCAATAGAATTTTAGCCAGGCACATGTTTAAAGAGTACATTTCTCAGCAGCTAGATGTGGCCAAGTGTTCTTATAAATAGGATGTAAGTGGATGTGGTGTATGGCTCCTTAGGACAGCCTTCCTTACAGGACAGCTGGAGTCAAGAATACAAAGTAATGAACTATTCATCCCCATGACAACAGAGATGGATCTCAAGGGCTTTATGCTGAGTGATAAAAGCCACTCTCAAAATGTTACATTCTAGGGATGCCTGGGTGGCTCAGTGGGCTAAAGCCTCTGCCTTTGGCTCAGGTCCTGATCCCAGGGTCCTGGGATCGAGCCCCGAATCAGGCTCTCTGCTCAATGGGGAGCCTGCTTCCTCCTCCTCTCTCTCTGCCTGCCTCTGCCTACTTGTGATCTCTCTCTGTCAAATAAATAAATAAAATCTTTAAAAAGAAAAGCTACATACGATATAATCCTATTTATATGACATTCTGTAAAAAGCAAAACTATGTGTACAGAACAGTAGTCACACTGGGTTGGAATGGGAGAAATGTTTGACTATAAAGGAGCAGCAAAAGGGAATGTTGGGGGCAGTGCACAAACTTACTGGGTTGCTGGGAACCAGAGCTCCCCTAACAGTAGTTGACCTCGAGTGGCACATGAGAACACTCTGGAAGAGGGGACATCCTTGTTAAGCTATTGATTAACTCTCTTGGGTAACATGTGCATTGTGACATAGGCCTCTGGATCAGGCTCTGTCCTGAATTTAAGAGGACAGAAATTTCAGACACTGTAGCAAGCCAATGCCAAAAGGCACACCAGGCACAGAGGGCGCTCCTCAAGATAATCTGAAGCAGTTCCATTTCTGTCTAGTTGTGCTAAGTTACAAATGAGATGACATTTTTTTCTCATTCGTCCATCCCTTTCCCTTCTTGGTTCCAGAGCACAGAAGAGAACAGAAACTCCCGGCCAAAACCACGGTTCCCTGGCAGCACCCCCACGTCGCCCGCCGGCCCCCTCCCCGCCCCAGAGGAAAAGGGCTTGCTTTTTGGGCACTTGTTATGCCATCCTGGCCATGTGTGCCACCGAGAGTGCTGGGAAAAAGTGACGGATTGAAAAGCAAGAGGGGAAAATGGTGGGTTTTGCCCTGACTTAATGGGTTGTCCCAGAACCCCTAGATAGGGTCTATAAACCACTCAGTCCTTACAAGTCCCCTTTCTGGCTGAGGACTGCCTCCTGAGAGCCATCGTTTTAATATTCAGACCATTTCTACATTTCTTAGGTTGTAAATGATACTTGTTTCTGGAGCAGGAAGGAGTCCATTTCGTTTCTTCGTTGACCCTTCTCTGAACTTTGAACTTGGAACAGTGGGAGGAAGGCGGAGAGGCACGGGATGGCCTGTAGAAGAGCAGTAAGTAACTAGCAATAAGCCATCTGTATGTCTGGGCACTCTGTAAGAGATATGCTTAGAGAGTCTCCTGTAAATCCTTATTGGCAGATTCAGGGTAGGGCCAGGCTTCTCTTTTTAACAAATTTCCAGTGGCTTCTGGTTGGACAGCCCCAAACCTGGCTATGGAGCCCAAAATGGAAGTTGCTCTCAGTTCCCAGCTGGTGGTGAGAGCCCGGGAAACCCTCTACCCTGGTCGGTGGCTAACAGGGCCGTTCCCAAAGGACTCCCCGCCGGCACCATCAGGACCATTCTCTCCGGCCCCCAAGGCGCAGGCGCCACTCGCCCCGCCCCGCGGACCCGCCCCGGACGCTCGCTTGTTTGACCCCCGCGAGGCGGCTCATCTGCGCAGGCTCGGGACGGTCTGGGCTCAGGGGCTAGGTCTGGGGCCGGGAAGGGCTTTAGTCTTTGTGGGATCTGTGACTTCGGGCGCGTAGGCTTATCGCGGGCACCGCGCCCTAGCCCGGTTGGGAGTGCTCCTCCACCTGTCCACCTGCGAGGGACTATGGGGGCCTAGAGCTAGAGGACAGAGTTGCAGAGCCTGTCCGTGTCCCTGTGAGGCTCTCTCCCGAATCCCTGCTGTTTTAGGGCCATGGAGGCGCACTGGCCCCCGAGGTCGCAGGCGTGGCTACGGACGTACCTCCTGGTGGTGTAGTCGTCACTGTGGGTGTGGGTCTGCGAGGGAACTGGGTTCTAGAGCCTGGTCCCGAGAAAGGCGGCGGAGCGGCACCAGTGCGCCCAGGCCCGACTCCTGAGGGATCTGAGAGCGCGCCTGAAAGCGGGGGAACGGCCCCTCCTCGGGCGGCAGAGCTCCGCGCCGGGGCGGCAGTCCGGGTTTGATATCCCTGCTCAGGGCCGTGCGGGTCGGCTGGGCGTCACCGCGCGGAGTGGGAATGCCCGGTGTCACCCAGCGTGCTCCCTGCTCACTGAATCGTAGGGAGGACTGCAGGGCTGCGGCCGCAGAACAGAGATTTGGACCTAGTGAAAGTACGTCGCCCCTTAGACCCAGCTATGGACTCCACAGCATCAGGTTTGGCTCTCAAGGGTGCAGAGGGCCAGAAGCCCTTCTGGGGAGTTAGTAGTGGGCCGAGGAGGAGGACGACTCTAGAAATAAGCCGGGGACTCCAGTGATGGGGCAGAGCCTGTAACCGTCTTCCCTGTGGCATTTCCTAATTTGCCAGGCCCAGGAGCATGAGGTCCCAGTATCCAGATAACATGGTAAAAGTGGAGGGGATGGCCACGGAAGTCTTCCCAAAAGCCAGAGGAGGGAGTAGCGGGCCGGAGAGGATCTCTTCCTGTGTGGGAGGGAGAGGGTGAACAATACAAAGCTGTGGGGGAGTAGCCCTTGGCCGGAGATCAGAGGGCAGTGGGGCCATTTAGAGCCTGCCCGCCCTTTCCTTTATTGCTTCATTGATAAGATTCCTCTAGCTCAATTGTACACGATTAGCAGTGCACATGGGGGGGGGCACCTCCTGTACCACTCTTTCACTAGTGTTTGGGAGGAGGAAATCTAGGTGACCCAGGAGGTTTTAAGCCATTCCTTTGTAAATTTAGAATCTACTGTCCTTCACCAAACGGCATTTTAATTTGACTTTTCAGTCTTCAGTGCCAATGCTCAAGGTCACGAGACTGGTCAATGGCAGAACTGGGCTGCATCTCTGGGACTATCACCCTCTCTGTATTCCTTTATGCCTTGTGTTCTGTAGACCACCAGCACAGGAATCATCTCGAAATTCCTTAGAAATGCAGGCTCTCAGGCCCTACCCTACATTCACTGAATCAGAGTCTGTTTAAGAAGATCCTCAGGAATCCATACACACTTTCAAGTTTGAGAAGTGCTGACCTGTACTGTACCATGCTGCTTGCCACCCATGCTTTTTTTGTTGTTGTTAGCTATGACCACTTATCTGGTATAGTTGATTTTCAGGCTTTAAAAGCAGTAAGGGACAAAACCCTATCATAGAGGGACTTGCAAAGTATGGTTGCAGAGACCTAAGGATGCTTGGGAACTTGTCAGGAAGAACCGACCTTTGAGCTGGCTTCCCAAGGATGAGGGGAAAGGTGTGACTTGCTTTCCCTTAGAGTCTGTATCCCTTTGTGGCCTTGCCCTGGACCTTGTTTTGTATTCTTAACCTGTCTTATACCGCAGGCTAGATTTAAAGTTTCTTGGAAGTCTTCTCCACGTTTATATTGTGGATGCCCAGTAAATAACTGTCCAGTGGAGTGGCCAAGCTATGGTGAAACCTAAGTTACCTGCAGCCTGCTGTGGCCTTTGGACACGAAGGGGGCGGGGAGTTTGTGCACTTCTCTCTCATGTGAGAGAGCTAGAGGCTGCCACTCAGCTCCCTTTGAACCAGCTCTGTCCCCAGAACCAAGACACACTGAGTCTTCAGGGATCTCTAGTGTGGGGAGTCTGGGAGCTGCAAAGGCCATGGGGTTAGCCTTCCTTATGGCTCCTTTTACCTTCCTAGTTCTCCCTTCTCAGGACCCTCCTCTTCCTCCAGAGAGATACCCAGGAGAAAAGGGAACAACCAGTTTATTCCTGAAAGCCAGGCCCCAGGTGAGTTGAGGTTCTCTTCGTTTTTTTCTCAAATGACTAAACTACGGATGTCTTTGACCCCTTTTCTCTGGAACCCCTTTGTTCAATGCCAAGGGGAACTGACCCCAATTCCTGCTCTGTAGGAGCCTGAGCCCATCAAGGTGGATGCTGGCCTCCCTGGCCCTTTCCAGGGCCCTCTCCTCTCTGCTCTGTATGTACTCACTCAGATCTTTTGGTTTATTTCTGTCATGAGCACTGCAGTGAGTACCAAGTAATGTGAGAGAGCCCTGGCCTTGAAAGAATGTCACTACCACAGAAGGGAGAGGACTCTGGTACCTAGGATGCAGCCCCAGTCACAGTGAGGATATGCATGATTTAATAACATATGGGAGTGGCACGGATAGGCCTTTCCTTCAAAGTTTAGTAAAAGGTAAAATCAGCCTGTGCTGGAGAGGCTGGGGGAAGGCTCATGGAGAAGAGGGACAAGGTTCTGAGGGTATAGAAAGGTGGGGAAGCCATTTTGAGTCTATGTCCCTGTTCAGATGTTATCTTCCTGGATTAGTGAGGAGATAGACTTAACGCACTACTTCCTTGCTGGAAGACTCACCTGACTTCTCTATGCATTGTTTTTTCCAACTGTAAAATGAAGATGGTAATCATGTTAATAATGATGAAAGCAGTAATAGCCATTATGTACTGAGAACTAAATATGTATCAGGAACTATTCTACACAGTTTACTTGAACTACCTCATTTCATCTTTCAAACATTCTCATTTTGAAGAATGGCATCTGAGGCACAGAGAGGCAACTGAGAAAGCCAAGGCATAGAGAGATAAGGTAACTTGTTTATGGTTATCTGGCTCATAAGGAAGGCATTCTACTTTCAGATCTCGGTTGTCTGGCTCTGAGATCTTAACCACTCAGTAATGTAGCTAGCTCATATCATTGTTGCCGTCTTCTGGCAAATGGTAACTGCTTAGTCCTTGTGAGCTGCAGTTGTGATGGGGGTAGAAGGGATAATGGTGACTGACTCCAGAAGTGCATTCAGGGTTGGCTATAGTGGTCCGGAGAACCAAGTGGAGGGCTGTGGATGCCAGACTGCATGGCTTCCTAGCATGGATGCCAAGGTGATACCATCTTGGTACTACCTAAATGATAGTTTCATGTATTCTAGCTTAATGATAGATATTGTGTTTAATTTTCTAGCAAATGGGGGAAACCCCAACCAGTTTGGAAGTCTCACAAATAACTAGTAGAGTAATAAATAGAGTTTAAACCTCTTTGGCCTTGATGTACCCATTCAGAGGTATATCAGAGAGCTTAATCTAATTATACCGTGGTGACAATGGCCTATAGATCTCAATGGCCCATAGTAACAAAGGTGTATTTCTTCTCTGTTATGTATCAGTAGTGGACTGGCTGTGACTGCTCCACACCCTCTTTGCTCTGGGATTTAGGCTAAAGGATTAGTCCTCCTCTGGGATATGTTATGTGGCAGGGAAAAATGCAATGTCAGAGCCAGGAGATGGTTCTTCTGGCTTCTGCCCAGGAAGGACATGTGTTGCTTCTACCCACAATCCATTGGCTGAAGCAAGTCATGTGGCCAAGCCTAATGTCAGTGAGATGGGAAATATAAGCCTCCCATAGTGAGGGGCGCCAGGGGAGGGGCAGTGAATTTTGAACAACTAATGAGTCTACCACTGTCTGTTTTCTTACAAAAATTCACTTGCTTTCCTCCACACAAATTCCCTCCCCAAGAGATAACCCAAAAACTCCATTTAGTTACCTAGTAGGAACATCAAGATCAAAGTCCTGGATGGGGTGATGGCCTCAACATCAGGTCTGGATGTTTCTCCTCTGGATCTGGAGACCTATGAACTAAAAGGACAAACTGCCCAAATCCATATATCCAACGTACAGTGGAAAAGGATAACCACAGTAAGAAACCCCTATTCAAAACAGGGAAGCAAGGGAGAAGCCCAGCAGTCTCAGGTCCATAACCGTTAAGATATTCCACTTGGCAGACTTGGTGAGAACCACTGATCTTGGGACTGGGAAGTCTTTTGGTTCTGTCTGGGTTCTCTTCCCCAGGTGGAGCTCCTGGGTCCCATGTTTTCCTTAGCTCTTGGCTCTGCCCCACAAGTTCCTTTTGCAGTATCCTCCTTGGTCACATAGGAAATGATATTGGAGAATAAACTCACTTGAGGGCTAGGCAGCTTTTTCATCCTGCCTGAGTAGGTTGATGGCCCAAGGATTTTTTCAAGTCATGGACGTTCAGTGTAACTCTCAAAATGTAATCAGTTTTTAATGTATTTGTTTTCTGTCACTTCCATATGTCAAGTTTTACCCACAGTTCTTTTTAAAATATACACTTCTTTAGGCTTAATTGTGGAGCTTTGAGGGTTTTTCTCAGGACAGCCATTCTTTTAGACAGTAAGCAGTTTGGTTGCCCTAAAGATATCCTGGGAGCCATCTGGAATTATTCAGAGGTTTAAACAAAAGGTTTGATTACCACACTCATAATTTGGTCCTTCCCTTAGGTTGAGTTTTAATCATCCTTTGTCATTGCAAAAGCCTTATCTATATTGTCTTTGACCAATTGGAAAGGAAAACTAGTTTAATCTCTAACTCTCCAAGTCCTGGAATTTCTAGACACTTTCTTTTGCCTTCCATTTTTATTTTGTAAACTCACAAACTCTTAAGCTCATTTTTTTTCTTGTAATGTTTTGTCAGATTCTGCCAGTAACAACCAGCTCACACTACTGATGTTCAAGCCTCTTCTTGTAACATCACAAGTTCATGTTTACATTGTTCATCTTTGCAGTTACTGCCGACAACAGTTTTAGCACACAGTTCACCATCAAATCATGTAGGTTGCCATCTTACCAGTAGGTTTCTTTACTACTGGCCCTGAAGCCAAAGTCAGATATTTTAGGCTTTTTGCTATGGCAGAACCCTACATTAAGTACTAGTTTCATAATGAGTCGGTTTAGGCTAGTTATGCTGTAATAACAACAGCAAACTCTCAAAGACTTATACCAACAAAGGTTTATATCTTGCCTGCATTACCTGTTTTACATCCCATTTGTGAAAGCAGATTGTTTGACTACCCCTGGGTTGTTGGGACAGGGAACTCAATCCTGTAGGGAGAGCCAGTGATTATTTTGAGCAAATAATATAATCTATCACAAGATGTTACTATAGCAGTGAGTTTTCCATATTTGACTATTTTGGACTGACTTTCATGTTAATGTAAAATTTTACTTTGACTTATTTTATGGAATCAATGCCTAAATGGGATTTGATTTCTAAACATATTTTGGGAAAAGTAACAGGGATTTAACAGTCAGATGGGAGGTGTTCTGATTGCTGTTACAGAGGATGACAGGAGAGTCCTGACTGGGACCCACAGAATGGTTGTACCTTGTGGGGACCTGGGATTCAGGGTCTGTCAGTTTTGCACATTCAGGAATTGAATGAGTCGGGACAAAAAGTGATTAGGGTTTGGGGGAGAGGATTCGTGTTAATCAAACTCACAAAAGACTTACTGATTCGTTATAAGGCCACTGGATATACTTTCACTGAACTGTGTGGTGGTGGTGATACATTATTCTAAATCCCCAATATTTGATTTGGACTTAGTAAAACTTGTCTTTAAAATCATAGGCCACAAGTTTCAAAAATAGTTAGAGACTGTTGATACTAGTGCATTTGAGAATGCAAAACAGGGGCCTCTGGGTGGCACAGTTGGTTAAGCGTCCAACTATTGGTTTGGGCTCAGGTCATGATCTTGGGGTCTTGGGATGGTGCCCCATGTCAGGCTCCAAGCTCAGTGAGGAGTCTGCTGGAGTTTCTCTCTCCTCTCTCTGTGCCCCTCCCACACTCACTCATGCTCTCTCTCAAATAAGTAAATGCATTTTAAGAAAAAAGGAATGCAAAACATATTAGTCTGTTACTTGTAGTTGATTCTAATTAAATGCAACTATGTGGAAAATGGAAGAAATGGATTGCATTTACCTCCCTTATGTAAGCAGACTGTCTCTGTAGGCCTGAGATCTTGAGATCCTGATTATATTTCTAAGCAGCGTGATACTGACAAGTCGGCATCAGTGGGTAGGATCCAAGTAGTAACAATAATACAATCCCTGGAGCAGCTTAAAATATTTTGGGGATGACAAGACCCAAAACTGGGCATTGGTGGGGTGCCTGGGTGGCTCAGTGGGTTAAAGCCTCTGCCTTCGGCTCAGGTCATAATCCTGAGATCAAGCCCTGCATCAAGCTCTCTGCTCAGCGGGGAGCCTGCTAATGTCCCCCCACTATCTCTGCCTGCCTCTCTGCCTACTTGTGATCTCTGTCTGTCAAATAAATAAAATCTAAAAAAATCCAAACAAACAAACAAACAAAAAACACTGGGCACTGGGATAGCTAGGAGCTCTTGGAATCCCTTCTACATCCTAAGGTTTTACTCAGACATCCACCCACTCTTCTCCCTGGGGCTGCTAGTGTGTTCCCTTAGGGTACAAGAGTATTTTCTGTGTTTCAGGATCTGATGACATTCGAGGATGTAGCTGTGGAATTCACCCAGTGGGAATGGGGACAGCTGGACCCTGCTCAAAAGGACCTATACAGGGTAGTGATGCTGGAGAACTTCAAGAACCTGGCCTCTCTGGGTGAGCTCAGCTCCTCTAAAGCCCAAAGCCTGCCTGTCAGGCCTGCCATCTTTATTTCATTGGTGTTTAAAAGCTTGGGGTTTCTAGGCCTGTTTGCTGAGTTTTGCCCTGGGGTTATGGAATTAGACATTTACATTGTCCTTGGGGTCCTCATTCCTAGAAAAAGTTCTGCTCCATATGAAGTTTCATGATTGTGCTCCCAATATTTTACAGTGCCTATTCTTTGGAGGCTTTCTACACCTACAGTCTGATCTCCCCCAGAAAGACCTAGAGCCAAAGCCTTGGCCTCTAACATACAGAGTCATGGTCTTTTTCTTTCTCTACCATCAGGGTTTCCAGTGGCTAAACCATATGTCATCTCCCAGTTGGAAAAAGGGAAAGAACCCTGTGTATTAGAGGGAGAAATCTCGACAGGTGAGTGAATGAGAACTAAGCAACATCACACGTAATAAGGACCAGCCATGGGTGAGAAATTGCCCTGAACCCTTGCTCACGGGGCTCTCCTTTGAGAAGGTAAGACCACTTGTCAGGAGCTCTCCACTGCAGTATTTTGAATATTCTCGGGCTTTTGTAATTGTCTGGTGTCAGAAAGAAGAGATGCTCATTTTCTTCTCTAGCATTTACACTTTGGAACCCATCTCTGCCCACCCTTTCTGGGTTCTTGGTGCCACTCAGCATCACTAGATGTCATATGGACGATGTTGGATGGAATCAAAGGATTGACAGTTGTAAATGGCCAGGCCCTCCTTTGCCAGCAGGGTTAAGAGAGTTAATGAAAGACCAAACAGTAGAGTAGCCTAGAAATTAAAGGGTTACAGGCAAGGACAGATGGTAGATGTCAAGAAGATTAAGGTAGAGACACTTCATGCTTGATCAAGCTGAGCTTCAATAGAGGTGGTTCCAGGAACAAAAATTACTCCTTACTGTCTACTGATGTCACCTCTTTGAGACCACGTGTTCCTAGGTAACTTGAGAGTACCTGATGAGCCTCACTTCTTGGAGCAGAATTCTGGACTCAAGCTCTTCTGCCTGCCATGTGTAACTAAGGCACAATGGAGGAAGGTGACAGTCTGTGCCACTATCAATCTCAGGTAGAATCATAGCCCTGGGTCAGAGATAAATCTCAGGAAATAAGTGCTCATATCCTGGGAGCACAGGCTGGGCCTCATTAAAGGAGCCTAGAATAGAGATCAGAGACTGAAGTTGCTAATCTCTGCTATATTCATATTTTCTTGATCTTTTTTCCTTCTAGAATGGGATTAAGGGTGTGACCTCTGGATCTAGTCTTGACAGTGCTCTACAAACATGGCTGTGTTTCAGAATCTCTCAGGGAGCCTGTTAAAGATCCAGATCTCCAGGGGCCACATGAGACCTACTGACTCAGAATATGGCTTCTGGGAGCACTGGCATCAGTAATCATTTACCTCTTCAGAAGTGTTACTATTATTACATTAGTTTTCTGTTATTGCTGAAAGAAATGAATACAAACCTAATGACTTTAAACACGAGTTTAGTTATAGTTCATAGGTCAGAAATCTGGCATGGATCTCAAAAAAGATGTCAGGAGAGGTGTGTTCCTTTCTGGAGTCGCTAGGGTAGATTCTGTTTTCTGTCATTTGAGTTGTTGGCAGAACCAATTCTTGCAGTTGTGAAACTGAGATCCCTGTTTTCTTGCTGGCTGTCAACTGAGAAATATTTCCAGCTTCTAGAGACTGCTACATTCCTTGGCTCATGGCACCCTTACTCCATCTTCAAAGCCAGAAGTGGTGGGCTGAGTCATTCTCACACATCTCTCTGACCCAGCCAGGAAATGTTCTCTGATTTTAATTAAGGACTTATGTGATTAGATTGGGCCCATCTGAAAAATCCAGGATAATCTCCCCATCTAAAGGTTTGGGCCCTTAATCATATCTGCAAAGTCCTTTTTGCCATGTAAGATAACACATTTACAAGTTCTTGGGATTAGAGCATGGATGTCTTTGGGGGAGAATTACTCTGCCTGTCACAATTATATACTGTAATATATTACTGAGGTGCTGAGGGGACTTTGTGGAGGACATCTTCCTACCCTCTTCTCATCTTTATGTTAGATTTACCTTGTGTACTGGAATCCAAACGCTATTTTTTTTAGATTTTCCTAATCTCCATTCAGTAATTTATCACCTCTTGATAACTCCAAAACCTTCTTCAGATATACACTATACTTGAAAGAAACTGTACACATCTCGGGTATTATTTTAAAGCTTCATTACCTTACATCCATTATAGGACTTTACTTCCTCTGGGCACATGGAACAGTTAATATGAGAATGTCTTGTCTTTTTTTTTGTTTTGTTTTGTTTCCTTCTCTCCTCTCAGACTGGGAGAAAAGGCCTAAAGCCAAGGAATCAGTACTGAATCAGGGAATTTCCAAAGAAGAATTACTCCAGATAGCATCAGTGGAAAAATACATCAGAGATGAATTCTGCTTCTGCAAACTGAAAGCAACCTGTGGTTGTGATGACCAATTAGAGATACAACCAAAAATCCAGGCGAGACATCTGAAAGGAATGCCAGTCTCTCAGAAATCTACCACCCTTAAGATAGATCATGAACGGAGTGAATTTGGGAGAAGTTTAGACCTAAGATCAGTCCTTGTTAACCAACGCAGTGTTCCTATAGGAGAAGGAGCCTATAAATGTGACACAGAATTCAGACAGACTTCAGGGAGAAATAACTCCCAGAGAAGCCATCCAGGAAAGAAACCTTGTAAATGTAATGAATGTGGGAAGTCTTTCCATTTCCAGTCAGAACTGAGGCGCCATCAGAGATGTCACACCGGAGAAAAGCCCTATGAATGCAGTGAATGTGGAAGAGCCTTTGGTCATATTTCATCCCTTATTAAACATCAGAGAACTCATACTGGAGAAAAGCCCTATGAATGCAGTGAATGTGGGAGAGCCTTCAGCCAGAGTTCATCTCTTGTTTTACATTACAGATTTCATACTGGGGAGAAACCCTACAAATGTAATGAATGTGGAAGAGCCTTTGGTCATACTTCATCTCTTATTAAACATCAGAGAACTCACACTGGAGAAAAGCCCTATGAATGCAGGGAATGTGGGAGAACCTTCAGCCAGAGTTCATCTCTCATTGTACATTACAGATTTCATACTGGAGAGAAACCTTACAAATGTAATAAATGTGGGCGAGCCTTCAGCCAGAGTTCATCTCTCACTCAACATTACAGATTTCATACTGGAGAGAAACCTTACAAATGTAATGAATGTGGGAGAGCCTTTGCTCATACTGCATCCCTTATTAAACATCAGAAAAGTCATACTGGAAAAAAAGCCATATGAATTCAGTCAATGTAGGAAGGCTTTCAGCTGGAGCACACAGTTTTCACATGACACACCCTGGAGAGAGATCCTGTATGTGTAATGTATGTGGGAAGACTTGGTTGGAAGACCTGTCTTATTCAACATCAGACAGTACATGCTAAAGAAAGGCTCTTTAGATGTCAAGAGAAAAGGTGGGCTTTCTGTCACACCTCACCCTTTATCAAACACCAGAGGATCCATATTAGTGAGAAACCAAGTAAATGTGATTGATTTGGAGAGGCTTTTGTCAGAGGACACATATTATTCAACAGCAGACAGTTTCTACTGTCAAGAAGCCTTATCAGTGCACTGAGTGTGGCACAGCCTTCAGTCACATACTATTCAGAAAGTAAGTAAGTAAGTAAATAAATAAATATCAGATAACTCAAGTGTGGTAAAAGCAATCTGTGATACTTCTCTTACTAAGCAGCAAGAACACATAGAAAAGTCTTTGAAAGCAATAAAGGTGGGAGGGCCTTTTAGAGCTCATCTCTCAATAAACATCAAAGAATTTATTTTTGAGAAAAACACTATGGAAATAGTGAATGTGGGAGAATCTTCAGCCAAACCTCTTTCATTTACAAATATCAGTGAACTCACCCTGCTAGTTAGAAACCTGGGAATAGAATGCACGCGGAAAAGCCTTTGGCCAATGTTCCACCCATTTTGCACATCAGAGAATGTGTACTGGAATGACTTTGAATTTGGTGAAACTGGGAAAACCCACTAGTATAGTTCAGGTCTCAGCATACATTAAGGCTTTACTCCAATGAGAAACCCTGGGAACTTAATGAATGTGGGAAAAGTTCCTTTCAGGCTTGAGATTCATAAAGCAAGAGCTGAAAGGAATCTGAGTGATTCAACAAGTCCTGTGATTTTCTACCTGGTGGGGCTCTCTGTAACGGCACTGTGATTCACCTCCCTATCCTGTTACTGATGGGAGCAGAGGTGCTACTGTGTGGGTGAAGAGAATGGAAGCTGCGCTAGGTCGAGAACCACCACTGATTCAGCCAGACCCTATCTTAGGGCTAAGAAAACTGATTTGAAAGTGCCATGGCGCTGGGCTGGGTCTCTCTTCCTTCTGGTTCACAGCTGTGGTTTTGAGATTGAGAGACTGAAGGTCTTCCCCGTACAAAACCCCCCATGCCACTACATGTTACCTCTAAGAGGCTGGAGTGTTATTTTTAAAGTGTGAGCAAAAAGCAATTTTCATTAGATCTTTATGCTCTGAGATTTGGGATTTTTGAAATAAAATCTTTTTAAACATTAAAATCATTAAAATGTGGGTATTAAAAAAAATCAAAACTTCAAAAACATTATTCTAAGTGAAAGCCAGATGCCACCATTCCATTTGTAGCAAATGTCCAGAAATGGCAAATCCTCAGAGGCAAAGTAGATTAGTGGTTGTCTGGTACTGGGAGAAGCAACTGGGAGTAAATGCAAATATTAGAAAGAATCTTATTGGGGTGATGCAAATGGCTTAAAACTGGATTATGTTGATGGTTGAACAGTTTGGTAAATTTACTAAAAATTATTGAATTGCACACACAAAATGGGTGAAATTTATGGTATATAAATTACACCTCAGTAAAACTGCTTTTATAAAACATCAAATATACAGATATACCAACTATTGCTAAACTACTTTTCCTACCTTGTCTGTTATTTCAAGCCATCTGTATGTCTTTATTTTCTGTAGTAGTTAACCCTAAGCTTTCTGGGTCTCAAGTTCATATCATGATGCATCTGAAATTTATGTGGAGAAGCCAGGAGTAGGAGCTGGCAGAGAGCAGAGGAGTCTTGACTAAAAAGATTAGCTTATACTAAAGACAGTCCTTCAAGCATTTTAAGTCACTGAGCCTAGACTTCAGGGAATCAGTTCAAAGTGGGTCCATGCAGACAGGCAGAATCTAGAGGTCCAACAGGTTGGCTAAGGCTGAGAGGTGCAGGCAGACAGGATAAATGGAGGCATCTAGACAGCTGAGATCAGAATGCCAGTCTAGAAACCTAGAAATCATGGGAATTTCTTTCCAGAGAGCCGAAGTATACAGGAGAGAAACAGCAAATTTACTACATTAGTACTGTCTTAGTTTGTTTTGTCTTACCTTTCCTGCCCGTGTTCTTTTCTAACCCCAACTTAAGTCACTTTATATACCTGGATACCCGCAACTTTGTAGCTGGTCTTTGCTTAACATCTGTCTGTCTTGTGTATCTTTGCTATGGTAACCATTCTTATCAGTCTGTACCCACTGCCTTGTCTGAAAGCCTCTGTACTGCCTACAAGAAAAATCCTCACTCCTCAGTTTGGTATTTAACGCCCTCTTCACTCTGCCTTAACCTCCTGCTACTCCTGACAAGAACCTCTATTACAGACAAACTAATTTGCTTGCCATACCTCGGAGATACCTTCACACTTCCCTGCCTGCCCCACCAGCCTGGAATGCCCTCTCCACTTCTCGGAAGCCTACTAAGTAGAACCCTGTTCAAATACCCTCTCATCAGGGAAGAATTCTCTTGAACACTGATGTAAAGTCATATCTTACTGATTTGCAATTGTAAAAGCATTTGCATTTGCTTAAGGTTTTTAAAAATGAAAAGATGTCTTGGGTAGTTCTTATTACTGTCTTGATCTCTTTAAAGCATTTTTTATCAGCTTGCCACTTTCTTGTCTCCTGAACCAGATTATCAGCTGCTTCAGATAATTTCCTCCACTTCCTCTCAGAAATGAGCAGACAGTAGGTGTTTACTAACCTGGTGTTAATTTGAGAAACTTGTATTGCCCATGTTTTCTCACTGCTTCTGACTTCACACTGTTTATAAAAAAAATATTTTATTGTACAGATATACTACATTTTATTTTTTTAAAGATTTATTTATTTGGGGTGTCTGGGTGGCTCAGTGGGTTAAGCCTCTGCCTTCAGCTCAGGTCATGATCCTGGAGTCCCAGGATCGAGTCCCATGTCTGGCTCCTTGCTTGGCGGGGAGTCTGCTTCTCCCTCTGACTTCTCCCCTCTCATACTCGCTCCTCTCTTTCTCTCTCTCTCAAATAAATACAATATTTAAAACAAAGATTTACTTATTTGAGAGACAGAGCATGAGGCAGAGAGGGTCAGAGGGATAAGCAGACTCCCTGCTGAGTAGGGAGCCCTATGCAGGACTCCCTCCAGATCATGACCTGAGCTGGCAGTCACTTAATCAAGTGAGCAACCCAGGTGCCCTGATATACCACATTTTTTTTTAAAAGATTTTATTTATTTATTTGACAGAGAGAGATCACAAGTAGACAGAGAGGCAGGCAGAGAGAGAGAGGGAAGCAGGCTGCCCGTGAGCAGAGAGCCCGATGAGGGACTCGATCCCAGGACCCTGAGATCATGACCCGAGCCGAAGGCAGCGGCTTAACCCACTGAGCCACCCAGGCGCCCCATCGATATACCACATTTTTAAAAATAGTATTTATTTAAGTAATCTCTATACCCAACATGGGGCTTGAACTCACCACCCCAAGATCAAGAGTCGCATGCTCTTCTGACTGTGCCAGCCAGGTGCCCTTGACATCACACTTTTGTATTAGATGAAAAACTTTACTTCTAGAAAACTACCAATTAAATATTTTTTTAGAAAAATACAATGTTGATTCCTATAATTATTTTTCAGATTCAAATGTAGATTGGGATTGTTCCATTTTTGGGGGGTGGGTTGGTATGTGTGTACATAAAAACTCATTGCTATTTTATTTTGTAGCACTACAATGACTTCTCATATCAACTATGAGAACTAGTTCAAACTCCACAGGTTAAAGATACAGTACTCCACAAGACTGCTCTCATTTCAGACAACAGCCACAAATGTGCGGGACCCTAGGCTACTCTTCTGACCAGCTGGCTACAAATTTGGGAGTTCCCACCACTCCTTCAGGTTTGATAATTCTCTGAGCAAATCTCCGAACTCAGGAAAGGGCTATATTTATTATGACAATTTTATTATAACAAAAAGGTACAAATCAAATTCAACCTAAGGAAGAGGCACATAGATTGAGGTCTGACAGCATCTCAGATGGGAGGCTTTCATCTTCTCCAGGAACACACCACTGACTGGTACAGCAGTGTGTAACTATGCAGAGTACTAGGGAAGCTTACCTGAGCTTCATAGGCCAAAGTTTTCACTGGGGTTCATGTTGTCACGGTTGGATGACCACACAGTTGAACTCAATCTCCAGTGCCCCTTCCCTCCCTGGAGGTCAGGCTGATATCACATGGCTCAAAGTCCCAACTCTCTAATCACAAGATGGGTCTTTCTCACTTGGCCAGCCCCCATCCTGAATCATCTAATTAGTATAAACCAGGGGAAACCAGAGTCACCTTTTTATATATTTTTTAAAGATTTTATTTATTTGCCAGGGAGCACAAGCAGGGGGAGCAGCAGGCTGCGGGAGAAGCAGGCTCCCTGTGGAGCAAGGAGCCCAATGCAGGACTGGGTCCCAGGATCATGACCTCAGCCAAAGGCAAATGTCTAACTGACTGAGCCACCCAGGCATCCCAAGAGTCATCTCATCTGCATGAACTATCAGGTGTGGTTCCCCAAGACCCACTATGAATAACAAAGACACTCTTATTCCTGTACAAAGGAATTTCCACAGATTTCACAATTACCTCCCAGGAACCAAGGACAAAGACCAGCCAAGTTCTTTATGACAGAAGCACACACTCAAGTCAATGTGAAAATACTTCTTCAATTATTTTTTTCTATTTTTTTTTCCACCCAAGTATTTGCCAATGGGCTGTAAGTTATAAGGAGACTTAATTTTACCTACATTCTTTTGCCTTTATTCTCATTCCCACCAATAGTGCAAGAGAGTTCCTTTTCTCCACATCCTCAATTCTTCAATTATTATCCAAATAAACAAAGCATAAACAAGAAGACTGTACTTTAGATATTCCTCAACAAATAACTGCTATATACTACATCTGCTTACAGATCACTGGCGAGAACTTAGACACAGGACCAGATCTGATGGCAAGGGAAGCCAGAAATTGGTCTTTGTCCTGGGCAGCAAATAGCCCAGTTAAAAGATGGGGGATTCTGTTATTAAGGAAAAAGAGGATGATGGATATTGACAGATGACCAGGAATCTGTTTCTCAAGACCCAATACTGCAAAGCCATTTGGGTGTGAGGTCACATCCACAATTCTCTGGGTCTCAGCCTTCTCTGTAAGATGAAGGGCTCTGTACTTGTGAAAATAAGTGAAGCTCACTCAAATGAAAGCACAAAGGCTATTTATTCAGAGCTTGCTATTGCAAAGGATCAGCTACTATCACCTGCATTTGGCAGAGATCCAGAGGCATGCAGAAAGGAAGAATGCTTTAAAATGAGAAGAAAAAGAATGAAGCTTCAAGGATGCCCTGATTGGAGGCTGTTAGCACGGGAAAGCTGGAGGTAGGTTAACTGGGAGCAGGACATTTTTTTTTTTTTAAGATTTTATTTATATATTTGACAGAGAGAGAGAGAGAGAGAGAGAGATCATAGGTAGGGAGAGAGGCAGGCAGAGGGAGTGGGGAAGCAGGCTCCTTGCTGAGCAGAGAGCCTGAGATCATGACCTGAGCCGAAGGCAGAGGCTTAACCCACTGAGCCACCCAGGTGCCCCAGGACATCTTACATGATTGGTTTGGGGAGCTTATTTGGCTCTCTATGGTTGATCCTAAGTTGAACGTGGGGACAAACAAAATAGGGGTACTAGCAGTCATTGACCAAGTTCTGGCTGTTCTGAGCTGATTGCTGTAGAGTCCGTGGTTTGCCCCTCAGGTTGGTTACTGCAGAGGAGTGTGTCAGAGTTCTATTGTCATATATGGTGTGTCGATTGTCCGTTGGTATATTTAGTTCCTCAGTTCCCCTGCTTTGGTCATTCCCTTACTTGAGAAAGGCTGGCTAATTCAGATATACTAGACCTCCAGATCTTCACAACTTACAGATTTTTCAATTTTCCCCATATAAACTGTATCATATCTTTTGTTATTGTATTATCACAGCAATAATCAAATGAGAGAGCAGTTGTGAAGAAGTATTGAGCCAAGTAGTGTTTTCTTTAAGGCAATATATACCCAGTGCTACCATGTCTATTTCATTTATCTAAGAACAGCAAGAAATTATGGCCATGGCACAGATGCCACCATGGTTAGTCAATTAGAGGTTTAGAGTAGCACAAATACCCGTAACTACTTGTGCCAGCGAAATGAGGCAAATTTACAGATCTTCCATGTAGGTAAGAGGT